TTGATCCATAAAAAATGAGATAGATAGATAGATAGATGGATGATATAAATGGATAGATAGATAGATGAATGAAACTGTTAGATAGATAGGTGGATAGAGAAATGAACTGATAGATAGATGGATGGATAGATAGAATAGATAGATAGATAGATAGATAGATGGGAAATGATGATAGATGGATAGATAAAAATTAGATAGATAGATAGATAGATAGATAGATAGATAGATAGATAGATAGATGGGAAATGTGTTTGATGAATAGATAAAAATGAGATGGATCGATAGAAATGAGATAGATAGATAGATAGATAGATAGATAGATAGATAGAATATATAGATAGATAGATATAATGAGAGACATAGGAAAAGTGTTTGATAAATAGATAAAAAATGAGATGGATCGATAGAAAATGAGATAGATAGATAGATAGATAGATAGATAGATAGATAGATAGATAATGAACAGAATTAGATAGATAGATAGATAGATAGATAGATAGATAGATAGATAGATAGATAGATAGATATTAGATATAAAATGAGAGACATAGGAAAAGTGTTTGATGAATAGATAAAAATGAGATGGATCAATAGAAAAATGAGATGATAGATAGATAGATGAGATAGATAGATAGATAGATAGCTATAAACTGTTAGATAGATAGGTAGATAACTATGAACTGTCAGATAGATAGATAGATAGATATAAAATGAGAAATAGGAAATGTGTTTTGATGAATAGAGAAAAAAATGAGATGGATGGATCGATAGAAATGAGATGGAACGATAGAAAATGAGATAGAAGATGATAGATAGATAGATAGATGGAATAGATATGAGACTTTTTAGATGGGTAGATAACTATGAACTGTTAGATAGATAGATAGATAGATAGATGGATGGATGGATAGATGGATGGATAGGGAACTGTTGTGATGAGATAGATAAAAGTAAATGAACTCTTAAATAAATGGGCTAGATGAGATAGATGAACTGTTAGATGATAAATACATGGAATTAGATGGATAGATAGATAGATAGATAGATGATAGATAGATGGATGGGAAATGTGTTTGATGAATAGATAAAAAATGAGATGGATCGATAGAAAATGAGATAGATAGATAGATAGATAGATGGATAGATAGATGGATGGATAGATAGATGGATAGATACATGGAACAGAATTAGATGGATAGATAGATAGATGGATAGATAGATAGATAGATGATAGATGGATAGATAGATGGGAAATGTGTTTGATGAATAGATAAAAAATGAGATGGATCGATAGAAATAGAGAGATAGATAGATAGATAGATAGATGACAATAAATAGATGGATAGATAGATAGATAGATGGATAGATAGATATAAAATGAGAGACATGTGGGAAAGTGTTTGATGAATAGATAGAAAAAATGAGATGGAGCGATAGAAAATGAGATAGATAGATAGATAGATAGATAGATAGATAATGAACAGAATTAGATAGATAGATAGATAGATAGATAGATAGATAGATAGATAGATAGATAGATATAAAATGAGAGACATAGGAAAAGTGTTTGATGAATAGATAAAAAATGAGATGGATCAATAGAAAATGAGATAGATAGATAGATAGATAGATAGATAGCTATAAACTGTTAGATAGATAGGTAGATAACTATGAACTGTCAGATAGATAGATAGATAGATATAAAATGAGAGAAATAGGAAATGTGTTTGATGAATAGATAAAAAATGAGATGGATCGATAGAAGATGGAAGATGGAAGATAGATAGATAGATAGATAGATAGATAGATAGATAGATAGATAGATAGATAGATAGATAGATAGATAGATAGATATGAACTTTTAGATAGGTAGATAACTATGAACTGTTAGATAGATAGATAGATAGATAGATAGATAGATAGATAGATAGATAGATATGAACTGTTAGATAGATAGCTATGAACTCTTAAATAAATAGGCTAGATAGCTATGAACTGTTAGATATGAAATAATAGATAGATAGATAGATAGATAGATAGATAGATAGATATGAACTGTTAGATAGATAGGTAGATAACTATGAACTGTTAGATGAATAGATAGATAGATAGATAGATAGATAGATAGATAGATAGATAGATATAAAATGAAAGACAGGAAAAGTGTTTGATGAATAGATAAAAAATGAGATGGATCCATAGAAAATGAGATAGATAGATAGATGGATAGATAGATAGATAGATGATGAATATGTTAGATAGATAGATAGGTAGATAACTATGAACTGATAGATAGATAGATAGATAGATGGATAGATAGATAGATAGATAGATGGATGTGTTAGATAGATGAAAAAAGATGAGATAGATAGATAGATAGATAGATAGATGATAGATAGGGAAAAAGATAAATAGATGGATAGATAGATGGATGGAGATAGATAGATAGATAGATGGATAGATAGATAGATAGATAGATAGATAGATAGATAGATAGATGATAGATTTGATGAAATAGATAGATAAAAAGAGATGGATGAATGATAGAAAATAGAGATGGGATGAGAAAATAGATAGATAGATGGATAGATAGATAGATAGATAGATGGGATAGATAGATAAATGGCTAAAAAATTAGATAGATAGATAGATAGATAGATGGATTGATAGAGATAGATAGATAGATAGAAATGAAATGAGAAATAGGAAATGTCTTTGATGAATAGATAAAAATGAGATGGATCAATAGAAAATGAGATGGATAGATAAATAGATAGATAGATAGATAGATAGATAGATAGATAGATAGCTATAAACTGTGAAGATAGATAGGTAGATAACTATGAACTGTGAGATAGATAGATAGATAGATGGATGGATGAGAGAAATAGGAAAATGTGTTTGATGAATAGATAAAAAAATGAGATGGATGGATAGAAATGAGACTGTTAGATGGAACGATAGAAAATGAGATAGATAGATAGATGGATAGAAAATAGATAGATAGATAGATAGATAGATATGAACTTTTAGATAGGTAGATAACTATGAACTGTTAGATAGATAGATAGATAGATAGATAGATAGATAGATAGACATGAACTGTTAGATAGATAAAATGAAAGACTCTTGAAAATAAATGAGGCTAGATAAAAATGAGATGAACTGTTAGATGAAAAATGATAATAGATAGATAGATAGATAGATGATAGATAGATATGATAGATGGATAGATAGATATGAACTGTTAGATAAATAGGTAGATAACTATGAACTGTTAGATAGATAGATAGATAGATAGATAGATAGATAGATAGAATAGATAGATAGATAGATAGATGAAGATAGAAAATGATAGACATAGGAAAATGTGTTTGATGAATAGATGAAAAATGAGGATGGGATAGATAGATAGAAGATAGATAGATAGATAGATAGATAGATGGATGAAAAGAAAGATGGATAGACAGATATGAACTGTTAGATGAAAATGAGATGGACAAATAAATGGGATAGATGATAAGAACTAGATAGATAGAAATAGATAGATAGATAGATAGAGAGAGATGGATGGATAAATGGATAACTATGAATAGATAAATAGATAGATAGATAGATAGATAGATAGATAGGTAGATAGATATGGGAAAATGAGATAGATGGATGAGATGGATAGATAGATAGATAGATAGATAGATAGATAGATAGATAGATGGGAATGTTTTAGATGATATAGATAAAAAATGACAAGATGGATCGATAGAAATGGATGGATAGATAGAGATAGATAGATAGATAGATAGATGATGAATAGATAAAAACATCTAAATAAATAGTGTTAGATGAAGAAAAATGATAGATAAAAATAGAGATGGATAGACAAAAATGAGATAGATAGATAGATAGATAGATAGATATGAACTGTTAGATGAGGTAGATAAACTATGAACTGATAGATAGATAGATAGATAGATAGATAGATAGAAATGATAGATAGATAGATAGATAAAAGATGGATGGGATATGTTAGATAGATAGAATAGATAACTGTTAGAGGATAGATAGATAGATAGATAGAGGATAGAAAGATAGATAAAGATAGATGGAGATAGAGAGATAGATGGATGGGATAATGTGTTTAGATAGATAGATAAAAATGGGATGGATAGATAGAAAAATGAGATAGATAGATAGATAGATAGATAGATAGATAGATAGATGGGAACTGTTAGATAGATAGATAAAAAATGAGATAGATAGATAAATAGATAGATAGATGATGGGAAATGTGTTTGATGAATAGATAAAGATGGAGATGGATGAGATAGATGAGATAGATAGATAGATAGATGGATAGATGGTTAAATAGATAGGTAGATGAGCTATGAACTATTAGATAGATATGAAATAATAGATAGATAGATAGATAGATAGATAGATAGATAGATAGATAGATAGATAGATAGTTAAAAAATGAGAGATAGGAAATGTGTTAAATGAATAGATAGAAAAGGAGATAGATGGATGGATAGATATAGAAAATGAGAGAGATAGAAAATCTGATAGATTTGATTACTTTATCTATCTCACAGTACTATCTGATATTACTGGGTATTGAAGGATCACTTGCTGGACTGCATTTCTCCACTACACGGAAAAGAAATTTATTTACATTTTCCGATACCTTCTGCCTTACTGTGGTAACCAGTGAAATAAAAACCTCATTAAATAAACCTTTGCTGTTTTTTTTCCTTATTTGAATGTGTCAGTATTCTGTTATATTTGTGAAGTATATAGCCAAAATGACACTCGATGGACAAGAGCCTGGTGACCGGAAATCTTGAGTAATAGTCAACTATGATTAAATATTTGTCGGCTTTGCACTCCAATATATCAGAATCTGATGCCACCCAAGGTTTCATTGGAAAATCTGTTAACTGGGGCCTGGTTTGTGCTACTTGCAGATGCTACGTACTTTCATCTTGTCTTCTAGGGTGCTTAAGTATCAAGACATAAACACTGATTCTTCGGCAAGTTGTATGCACTTGGTCTCAGCTGGCCTGTGTGGATGATATTAAGAACTGAGGCTCTGAGTGTTTTGTGAGCTTGAATTTGTTTCTTACGAGGACTAACCAGTCTTCCAATTCATTTGTATGTTCAGTATATGCACTGTACTTGAGGTGTTGCGTTCTATATCCTGTCCATCCTTTGGTAGATAGTATTTTTCAGTATGTTCATTGTTGCTACAGCCAAGATTACTTCTTCCACATTTTCAGTGTTGGTTAAATTTGTTGTTACAAAATGGACATCAAACTATTAACATGGTGCTTGAATCGTTTGCTTTTTAAATCAGAAAATGACATTTGCGACTGGGATTGTTTTTCCTGTTTATTTTTATTGGATTATATAAAAGCAACGTCAAGCCTGGTCAGTACCTAGAAGTTCTTTGAATGAAAGATTAGATTTGCTGGCAGGAAAAGTTTGTCTATTTCGTAAATTTGATTGTGTTGAACTCTGCTATAAAAAGTGATGGGTGGACCTCACATATGTACAAGTGGTCTATTTGCTTTGAATAAAGCTTCATTACACGCTTAAATATTCGTCCGTTTTTTGTTGTTGTTTTTTTTTTTGTATTTTTTTTACACTTATAAAATGACTATTGAACTCATCAGCACTTTTAGTAGAATGGTCGACCACAGTAGGGATCAGAGTCATTTTAAACTCCACAATTCTTTCATTGGCTGTATAATAGGGTCATACACGGTTTCAAATATAGAGTTTCTTTCTCTTAAACTGATTGCCAACCAAGACTAAAGAGCCCAGTCTGCTCTACTATTTACCCATTGTTGTCGGTTTTTTCATTCAGTGTTTCCCTTTTCCTTGACCTGTTGCCACCCACAGCTATTTACCCATAACTGGAGGGGGGAATAGACGAATTCACACCTTACGTATTTGCACATAAGTGAACGTAACTAGCTCAACTGCAGTTCGAACACGAAACTCCAATTACTCAGTCCGAGCCTCAACAAATTACTCTACTGTGCCTCTTAGTTTTCATTCAACGCTTTCACGAAACTTTGTTAAATTCTTTTGTTAAACAAAGCAAATTCTCCCCCCACAGAAATTTGTGAAGAAAAATTAAAGTATTCCCAATGAGTGCATCTAATCAATTTTCTTTTTGTTATGCTAAACTTGCAGGATGTTGCACTTCTTAGAACATGTAACGAACCAGAAAACCCTGAAACACTCAAGAAGGAAGCAGAAACATTGAAATATTCAAGAAGAAAGCATAAAACCATGAAACATTTAAGAAGGATGCAGGAAACTACGAAACACTCAAGAAGAAAACAGAAAACACCGAAACATTCAAGAAGAAAACAGAAATCTTTGAAACATTCAAGAAGAATGCAGAATACCCGGAAACATTCCAGAAGGAAGCGGAAACATTCAAGAAGAAAGCAGAAAAACACTGAAACATTCAAAAAGGAAGCAGAAAACCCTGAAACATTCAAGAAGAAAGCAAAAAAGCTCGAGACATTCAAGAAGAAACCTGAAAACCCTGAAACATTCAAGAAGAAAGCAAAAAAGCTCGAAAAACTCTAGAAGGAAGCAGAAAACGCCAAAACATTCAGGAAAGAAGCAGAAAACCTCGAAACATTCAAATACCGCAGCAAAATGACTTCAGAAACAAACTTTTAAAAATTCCAATTTCTTGTTAATTTTTTAATAATATACGAATTTAATGTACACTAATCTTCAAGCTCGTCTTACACACAAACTCACTTGTGTAATAAGTTCGATCCTCACTAGATGCACAAGTATTATGGATTTAAACTAAAATAAATTAAGTTTAATAAATAAATATATTTAAGGACGCATCACTGTAGAGCAGTGGTTCACAAACCGTCCGGCGCGCCTTATATATGCGTCGAAAGAGGATAGCAGGTGAGACGCATTGATTGAAAGACAATCAAAGATTTAGAAACAGTTTGAATATATATATATATATATATATATATATATATATATATATATATATGAAATAATATATAAATATACTGAAAACAAATGTCAAAATTTAAATCATTATTATGGATTTTTTGTAATTGCATGGATGAGTCCCAGTATATATCATTGTGGCATTTTTGCATTATATCAACTATTACGTATATAGTAACTAGGGTCCGTAAATTAGAGGAGAGAGTTATCAATGATAATTTTCTGACTTCGAATCCTCGTTTATCTCCCTTTAACCCCCTCTCTGGACCTTCTTTGCTGTTGGTCTGCTTGTGTCTTTTCACCGGGACTTCTCTTTGCTGAGGCTCGAGCAAATTTTCATTCCGAAAATTTATTGGGAACTAGTATAGTTTATAGTGTTTTTTATTCTTATTGAGTTCACTACACGTGGAACCTTGGATCATACTAACCCGAGTTTGTTAATTGTTTGTACTAATGATTTTAGACGGACTAAGAATAAGCAATATCTAGTTATTAGTTTTTGTTATTGTCAAAGTGAATTAATTTATATTTCTCTACTGGAAGCTTGTTGGATCCAACCGAAGTAAGAAAACAGCGCAGGTGTGTTGATTCAAGAAAGATCTCTAGCGTTAATCGGATCCTCAGAATAAAGGGAGCAAATTAGTTATTTTTGGCAAATCTCCAAGAGCAGGCCGGATTAAGAGAAATAAAAACAGCTGCAAGTTATCAGTATCCTGCTGTCAATAGATTAATCCAAGCAAAGAGGGCGATGTGACAAATAACGATCCGAATGATGTATCTTGTCTAACGTCAACTCTCCTGTCGAGCGTGATACCATTTTGACCTAAGAACAGATTAGACATCTAGATCTGACAATGACAGATGCAGACAATGCTCAAAATGAAAAACAAATTACTTCTTCGCTTTATTAATTCTTTTATCGTTCGACTGGAATTCTCTATTTTACACCCGAATTAATAGAACAATTTCTTTATAAGGCTGTCTTTTTGCCGATACAGGCGGATATCTTTTAATTCCATTATTAATATTCAGAGAAATATATTTGCCAAGTATGTTTTGTACTTATTTAACTTTCAAGTTCGGAATCTAGCTTTGTTCAAACAAAAATAAAAGACAAGAAACTTAGTTATTTAAATGTAAAACTGCCTCTTTTAATAGATTTTTCAAGAAAACGTTGGTGTGGAAAGGATACGAGAAATCAAGCATCCAGCCATGAAATAACGTCTCGCACAAGAAGCCAAAAATGGACGTGTTTTTACTGTTTAATCGTTAGCGGATTCGTTTTATTGATCAGTGATACTGAGTTCGAGTCTTATTAAAGTGGCTGAGAAAACGATCAGTTTAATCTATCTCTATGGAGAGTAAATGACTCCCTCTACCATGCCTGGCCTTTACAAGGGTCAAATAAACCAAAAGTGGGGTGTTTCTTTACAAGAGGCCAAAAGTGGAGTGTTTCTTTACAAGGGGCCAAAAGTGGAGTGTTGCTTTACAAGAGACCAAAAGTGGAGTGTTGCTTTACAAGAGGCCAAAAGTGGAGAGTTGCTTTACAATTGGCCAAAAGTGGAGTCTTTCTTTACAGGGAGCCAAAAGTGGAGTCTTTCTTTACAGGGGGCGAAAAGTGGAGTGTTGCTTTACAAGAGACCAAAAGTGGAGCGTTGCTTTACATGTGGCCAAAAGTGGAGTGTTGCTTTACAAGAGGCCAAAAGTGGAGTGTTGCTTTACAAGAGACCAAAAGTGGAGTGTTTCTTTACAAGAGACCAAAAGTGGAGTGATGCTTTACAAGTGGCCAAAAGTGGAGTGTTGCTTTACAAGAGACCAAAAGAGGAGTGTTGCTTTACAAGTGGCTAAAATTGGAGTGTTGCTTTACAAGAGACCAAAATTGGATTGGTGCTTTACAAGAGACCAAATGTGGAGTGTTGCTTTACAAGTGGCCAAAAATGGAACGTTGCTTTACAAGAGACCAAATGTGGAGTGTTTCTTAACAAGAGACCAAATGTGGTGTGTTTCTTAACAAGTGGTCAAAAGTTGAGTGTTGCTTTACAAGTGGACCAAATTGGAGTGTTTCTTTACAAGAGGCCAAAAGTGGTTTGTTGCTGTACAAATGGCCAATAGTGGAGTGTTGCTTTACAAGTGGCCAAAAGTGGAGTGTTTGCTTTACATTTTTTGTACGATAACAATTTTTATAACTTGGAAATACATTTGTGAATTATCGAAATTAATTGCGAAATTCACCCATGAAATAAAAATAACTAGCTATGCACCATAGGAAATAGACAAGAGTCTACTTTTGAAGGTATAAAAAAAACTTTAAGAAATCTCATTTGGTCCATCTTTGTAATCTACAAGAATGATTTGATCAAGCCTTCCAACCTGCTCCACTAAAAATCCTGTCATCTACACTAAATGTGGCTTCATATGAGAAATCAATAACATATTTGAGCTACTATCCCTGTATATTTTATTAAACAGCGAAAATAATAACAGGAGTAATTTGTGTAGTCCTATTAGAGAATAATTGTGGATCAAACCTGCGTCTCTTTTTTTCCATCAGGGAAACCAATTTTTGAGCCAAAGCATACCTCTACCAGTTCGGCTATGGAACCAGTCCTATAGCACAAAGTTTAAATTACCTATTAATGGAGGAACATTTCAAATTGAAATTTCTGTGAATCTGTCTGTTAGTTTCAGAAAAGTACCCAGAACATAACAGTGAATTTTAAAAATTGTAAAAACATTCAAAATGTTAGATTAAAATGATACCAGATTAGTTTTTTCAGTTTTTTGGGGTTTTTTAACTTATACACAATTTTTCTACTTTAAAACATTTGTCCATGGATTAAAATGAGATGTGTACACCAAAAGTATACACAACCTATAAAAACAAAATTTAAAAATGCACCAGACAAGTATCCATTTACATTATTCGGACTATTGTCCTCATCTTTATCACCATATTTATTACAACGTTTTGGCCGTTGTACACTCCAGCCTTCTTCAGGTGGTTAGAATGTCAAAGTGAACCCTTTATTTCGCTTACTGGGGTACACTGTTCTAGTTCCACGTGCCATGTCTAATGGATGTCAGTTATCTTCTGCTTAATTCCCTCTCTAAGTTCTGAGATGAGGACAATAGTCCGAATAATGTAAATAGTGTACATAATACCTCATCTCAGAAATATGGAAAGATACAAGTATCCATAATTTGTCATATTTTCCTGTTACTACATGGAAATGTATCACTGAAATCCTCAGTAGAAAGTGGAAATGTTTTCCTGCATTATAGTAGCCATAAAAGTTACAGACATAGCTTAGAAACAGCTAAAATTGGAAAGTAAGGACCAATATGCATGAAATTGTATTTAAATGGCGGCAGAAGAATTATCGTTGAACTTTTAAAAGGTAAGCTTAAATATTAATGAGATGCTTAAATTGCAACGATCTGTCGTTTATTGTTGCCTATCGCAGCTACTCCTCCATACCTATTGTGATAAAGGCCCAATCAAGGGCCCTTTGCAGGAGCTAGGTTAAATGGCGCCCAATAGGGTGGCTTTTAAGCTAGTCTTATGATTCTCCTTTTCCCTCCCTTGATCCCTTAGCTAGTTCTTATGTCAATACCTCATAGATAATGGACTATTCCATTTTGATCACGTGGAAAGACGGAAAAGACATATCAGAGACGCTATTTGGTTTTATTAAGAAAATGAAGGAAAGAATGGGAGATAGAAGAGGCGATAATACTCTCATGTGTTTAGTGTCTGTTTCAGTGAAATGGAAATGTCGTGTTTAAATCCTTTTATTTGTACCCCCTTACTTCTTTAAAACACCGACCAGCATTCATATTTGTGATAGTTATTGCAATATTTTGGGAATGTTGTTAAGCTCAAGTACTTAATGATGCGACAGGGGAATTTCTATGGATTCTATTTCTTAATCAATAACTTAAGAATTAAGATTTATACCAGGAAATTAAAATAGTGTCATGTTATAATTCTGCTTGTTCCTTAGTTAGTTAACTTGTACATTACGCACTGCTGATATCTCATATGAGTTTGAGAGAAAAACAGAAAAGACATATCAGAGAGGCTATTTGGTTTCAGTGAGAAAAAGAAAAAAGAGAAGATAAATGAGACTTTTATGTGTTTAACGTTGGCTTCAGTTTAATGAAAAACTTGTCAATTTTAAATCTTTTCATTTGTACCCTCTTTCTTCCTTAAATAATTACCTACCTTTATACTTAACATATTATACATATATTATTGCAATATTTAACGACACAAGAGGAGAATTACCACGCGTATTTTAAAGTCGTGGGACTCGAAAGGAGATTATTCAGTAATTAAATTAAGAGTGATGATTCATCAGCCAATCAGTTACGTGCCATGCGTGATACACGCTTAGGTGTTCATGTATCTTTCGATACATGACTGACGAGGCAGTTTCTTACCGCAGTAGGTTGCCATTTCTTTCTGCATTAGACCAGTTGCCATCCAAGTCTTTCCTGTTATTTACCCAAAGCGGTGGGGGGGCAAGAAGAGGATTCATACATTTCCAAAGGTTATTAGCACGTAAGTGAATGTAATGGATTCGACTGGAATTCGAACTCGGCTCTCCGATGCCTCAGTCCGAACCGCTATCCACCACAGTGATTCATGCGGTAACGAAAATTAACTCATCATCCTGAGGAAGAAGAAGGTGACTTCTTAAAGTGTTATCTGTACTTTCGGTCTAGACTTGATAAATGTTGAACAATTTCCATACTTTGGTAGTGTCAGTCAGTTATGTGCCATGCGTGATACACACTTAGGCGATCATGTATCTTTCGATACATGACTGACGCGGTAGATTTTTTTCCCGCCGTAAGTTGCCATTTCTTTCTGCAGTAGACCAGTTGCCATCCAAGTCTTTCCTGTCATTTACCCATAGCTGGAGGGAGAAGATGATTCATACCTTTTCCCAAGGGTATTAGCACGTAAGTGAATGTAATGGATTCGACTGGAATTCGAACTCGGCTCTCCGATTCCTCCATCCATACTTTGGTAGTGTCAGTCAGTTATGTGACATGCGTGATATTTTCAGGCAGATTTTTTTTCCCGTTGTAGGTAGCCATTTCTTTGTGCGGTAGATCAGTTACTATCCAAGGCTATAGAACCCGGTCTCTCTTGCTATTTACCCATAGCTGGTGGGAAAAGATGACTCATACCTTTGCCAAGGTTATTAGCACGTAAGTGAATGTAATGGAATTCGAACTCGGCTGAAAACTCAAATAGCAAAACCCGGATATTTTCACAGGTATTTCTAGTTAGTATTATTTTCTTACCAATTAGCATCGAGTCTTTGGCTTCTTTCCATTCAAAAGAATTCTGACTAAATTATACTGCCTTGTTTTTTCTAATCCTTATTAAATGACTATTTCACCAATCATCACTTTATCGTGGAATTAATTAAATTTCCACTCTGTTAAATTCTCTTTAAATTGCACCATTATCAATACTATTCAATTGTACCTCTTCTAATGGTGAGTACAAACATTGTGATTCTGGCAACGTGTGGCGCGATATTTTTAACCGCGCCAAATCTGCTCGCAGATTTCGGTAAGTGGAAGAAAATGAAACATAAATTATTCAGCCCCAAATTGGTTCAAACGATTTCAGAATAATGAGAAAATGGAAACAAAAAGGACGTTTATAATTAACATCAGAAAGAGACAGTTGAAATTTTCTTGGTTACATAATGAGGAAAGAGGGCTTAGAAAAAATTGACTCTCAGGGGACATATTGAAGGTAATATGATCTGGTGCTCCTTCTATATATTTAGATGTTCTTGATAAAATAGAAACAAGAATGTTATTGGTCATGATCTCGGCTTCAGTTCCTTTTTCACATCCATAACAAAGTTTCCCTGTGCCTTTTCTAGAAATACTTTCATGGTAATTGTTCTAATGAACATTCCTCTAAGGTACTCGACTTTAAGAATTTAAGCGCAGAACTAGATTTGCAGCAAGGTATCATCATTTTACAGTTGAAATCGCTAGATGTAACTATAAGTTCTATGCTAACAATTTCATCTATCGCACTTCTCGTGTGTGGAACTCTCTTATGGGTTCTTGCTTCCAAATCAACTTTAATCATCAAAAATTTAAATGCAATATCTTCTATTTTAATAATTGTCCTTTTATTGTTCTCTCTCCTCGTAAAGGTTTTGTTCTATTCTGACCCACCTTGCGTCTTAGTGGCTTTATTGCCTTGCTTGGGGTGGAATGATTATTTAAAAAATAGGTGGCAGAGGAAGACAGCGCACGTGCTACATAACGTGATTGTGTAAATAGATGGCAGAACAGTGTTTAGGACAGATAGCAAAATGGCAGAACAGTGTTTAGGACAGATAGCAAAATACCCAAAATTTATTGAGCTACAAAATGGGAAGAGTCTGCCTCCTTCTGATATCCTTTATTTTTTCAAGAGCTAGATCAAGCGAAAAATGGAGTACTTCTGTCATAAATAGGCAGAAGCTGCCCAGTCTTTACTTTCCACTCTCAATAGAGTCCAAAAAGCGTCTCCGATTCCTTACGGGTGACGAATTATTTTCCACCCTGCAATCCCTTTCCTCACAGACGAAATGTCGAAAGTCTTTCTCTTCTCTATCGCTATTTCCATAGAAAGTGTTTCACCAGTTCTAACCTTCACAGCTAAGACCCGCCATGCTACGCACTTTGTGGAGAACCACCCTCATTCCCTTCATATCCCATTGGTGAGATGTTTCTTCCCACGAATTGTTGCTTTGTCGAACCGACTCTCAAGCGGATTCTTCCCCGATCACTACAACTTAACCAGTTCAAGTCAATCGTTATCTTCCCTACGTATTCCCATAAACTGTGCCTCTTACTCTGTAACCCTCTGAGTGGCTCTTGGGCCTTATATAGGGTGGATAGTAGTGTTAAAAAAGCTGTATGCGATATCTGTCGCTTTATTATCCCTTCACTCTCTTATTCTGCCATCCAAACTCGTTAAAGTATTCGATGTTTCACTCTGGCTTCTTGCATTCAATATATTCTATGAGTGCCAAATTCTCCTAGCCGTCTTTCATCGTTATGTGTCTTAGGAAATTAAACGCTTTTTTAGTTTAAGTAAATATGCACTTTTTGTGACAATTTGTTTAAAGCTTCCACATTATTCACATGCCTTGTCTATAGTATTCTCATCATCTGTCGATAGAACAACATCTCTGTTACCACAAGTTTCCTCTTCGTCTCTGTGGAAATTGTTTAACTTTCATTGTCATATAAGAGCACTTCTATTAATCTTTTTTTTAACTAAATTTACCTCACTCTTTATTTAGCTTTTGGAGGGCATCTTTCGCTATTCCAATGTACTTTCGGATTTCTGTGTCATACTTTCTACATTCTGTTCCACTTCCCAGTAACTCAAACTTCTGTACTTGCTTGATTTTAATGTATATAATGCGTATCGCACATCTTAGCATCTTCCACTTTCCGACGACCATACATTTCTTCTTTTTACAAATAAGGGTTAGTCTGTTGTTCTTGCTTTCCTTGGAACTCTGTTACTTTTTCTTGCTCCCCTGCCACCTACAATCTTCAAAAATTTTAATGCAATGTCAGTCGCCATCTTCTGTCTTCCTGGATCCCGTTATTTTATTGCTCTTCCCCGTCACTCTCATTGTCTTTCACCCTCGCCTGCCGTTTTAGTGTTATTAGCTTACTAAAGAAAAAATAGAACTACCCTGTCGAAGAGTTCCTTTCTTTCTGTATCAACATGGTGTCATCTGCATATCTTGTTAAAATTATTCCCGCTGCTCAGATTTTAAATACTCTGTAGATCGCTTAGCTTTAAAAGTTTGGTGATGTCAACAAACACTCAGTGCCACATTTGTGACAGCAACAAACACTCGTTTGACACCTTTGTGATGACAACGAACACACGTTGCCACTTTTGTGATGACAACAAACACTCGTTTGACACTTTTGTGATGACAACGAAAACTCGTTGCCACTTTTGTGATGACAACCAACACTTTCGCAATGCTCGTTGTAGTAGAGACTTTGTAATCGCAGATACAACTTATAGTAAGCCCTTGAACAATGGCGGTGTCAGACGCTTTCGAATAGCACTCGCACTAATAGTACTTGCTCGATAATACTCGCTCGAATACTAACCACCGTATAGTGATCCGAATAGAGAAATAGTATGGAGAATAGAGTAGAGAATAGCGGTCCGTATAGTAATAGAGCATAGAATAGAAATAGCGGTCCGTATAGTGTAGAGGATAGACTAGAATTGGAGATCAATTAGACACACACTACCTTCCATATATGCGTTTCCTCTATGGTCACGTGATCTACTTTATTCAGTAATGGGATCGCCTGTGTTTGCTCACTGGCGATCTATGTTCAAACTCAAATGTCGGTAGCAACACTTTATATAACAGAATATAATATACTATATAACAAAAATTTAAATAAGTTTATCGAAAAGACGATTCTTATGCCTCTTTCCCTTTGTTTATATACTTGCTCCGAATGCAGGCGCCCCCCCCCCCTGGAAGACTTAGGAAAACGAAAATATTTATGATGCACCTTAAAATTAAAATATTTCTTATCTTTTTGCTAATGTTCATCCAATATAAAGTCCAAGGAAAAGAGTTACTGAATTTGTGGTGAGGACTTAAAAGTAGGAAGTCGAAAGTGAGGATTATGTCGACGTTGGGGATAGATAACAATTGACCCTAGTCTTGAAGAGGTTAACATTGTGTGATCTCAGAGAAATCATTCACGCTGGAGTAGTAACGGTTCTTTGGGAAGAAGCTGTTTGAGTGAAGTTTCCTCCTTACAAATGGAAGAAGAATGATTCGACCATGTGTACGGAGTATGGCAGGTCTTTGGTGTGAAATGGTGGAACGAAAGAATAGAGCTCGTCTGAAAATTTTTCAATTTTCGGACGTTGCATTTTGGGGAAAAGGGATATAGGGTACAACATATGCTATCACACATAAGACGACGAAAATGATTTTGTAGACCGTTTTGACGTAATGAAATACTAACCTGAATATCTACAGTATCGATTATCACATTTTTTTACAATTTATTTATAAAAATCATTTCTCTTTCTCTCTATGGCTGGATTGATTAGTTTTCTACTGTTTATCAATCCTTTGCAGGTTATTTAAAGCCAGAAAATATATTTTTAGATTATCAGTTCTTTTTAGGTTATAAGATATTTTTAAGGACAATGGTTTAGTGATACAAGTCTTACTAATTAACCCAGAGCTGGGGGAGGAGAAGAGGTGGATTCATACTTTTCCCAAGGGCATTTTGCGCTTAAGTGACTATAACGAACCCAACCTGGAATTGGAACTCTGCTCTCCAATTAACAATTCCGAACCATTATCCATTACACCACCCGCACATCCAAGCTTAAAGTACCTGGTATTCCCAAATGGTCACCCATCTATGTACCGAACAAGCTCGACGCTTCTTAACTTCGCTGATTGTACGAGAATCGGTGTTTCAACATGATGTGTTCTTAATCTCTCTCTCTCTCTCTCTCTCTCTCTCTCTCTCTCTCTCTCTCTCTCTCTCTCTCTCATCATATGCAAATCATGCTTATAAAATCCCAACGCAATTAAGACATAAAATGACACTCGATATTTTTATTGTTTTTTTTTCCTTTTTGGTACCAAAAAAATTCTTATCATGCAATGTTTATTCATTGGATCAATTTAATTTCTTTTGGCACAGTTTAAATTGCAATTTGAGTGGAACATTTAAAATGAAAGATTTTGTGATGAACAAACTAGTTGTTCATTGTTTGCTATTCCTGATAACCCTGTCTGGCACGCAGGTCAAGGTTGATTACATCCTTTGTCATATTCGCTTTATAATCTACAAGTATCAGCTTGAAATAGTACTGGCTGTTGTTCCACGCGAACGTAGAACCGTGTGCACAGTTGATGATTATCTCCGACAAGTAGATTTCTATTTAGGTATCTCCTGACAGAGTAATTAACAAAAGTAGCCATCAATGAAGCACAATTTGATATGAGTCGATAAAGGATTCAGTCAAATAGCCTCACCTTTGTTGTTTCAGTTGCTAACTTTCATCCGATGTCTTCTCCAACCATCAACAAGTACAGTTCACATCAGGCATTCTCCAATCTTTTAATGGCAACAATTTTTAAACATTTAATTCACCATTTACATATATATATATATATATATATATATATATATATATATATATATATATATATATATATATATATTTACGTATATATATATTTTATATTTATATTTATATATATATATATATATATATATATATATATATATATATATATATATATATATATATATATATATATATATAAAATAAAAGAAAAGAAAATATAATAATCCGATGTTCATATTGATATTATTTCTTTTTACAAAACAGTGCTCAATGTAAATTTACAGAGCATTAATATTATAAATTAACTGATTTAAAATATGGTTTATTCGCTGCACAGTAATAACCATGTTTCAAAAACCGAAGCTAAAAATTAATACACACACATATATATATATATATATATATATATATATATATCCTCCAGAGACAGAGTGTTTCGTTGTATCACAGCTCATCAGTGTGGCTAGACATACGATGTGTGTGTGTGTTGGATTATAAAGTATTAAGCTCTGTTTCATCCTCAAGCGAAAACTTATGAAATAATTTTTCGCGTGAGGATAAAACAGGCTTTATACTTTAACTCAATTTAATAATTATATTGAGGTTTTCGGCTCTCGTTTTTGAAACATAAGAACTCTTATGTAGCGAAGGAATCATATTTTTTTTAATTATATATATATATATATATATATATATATATATATATATATATATATATATATATAAAGACAGACATGCTTGCAGAGGTGTTCAGGTCTTATACACACGCTGATACTAATGTATTCACATACACACATAATACACACACCCAAAGAACTAAAAGATATCATACACTTAACACACACATCCCATTCCCAGCAACCAATAAAACTGCCAACTTGAAGAGGCCGTTTGACCAAAACAAGTACTGACCAAAATTAACGATAAAAAAAATGAAAACCTTCTTCAGAAACAGTCATTCACTCCTGTAGTTCGAGGAACCTAATTGAAATAATAAAACAAAAAAAAATTATTATACAACCCAGTGTGTCTGCAAATTTTAATTTTTTAACACACACACACACACATACACACACACACACACACACACATATATATATATATATATATATATATATATATATATATATATATATAATTATTTATTTAAAAAAATTATAACATAAATATGTTATAAAATCACTACAAAAATAGCCATTTTGTTTCAACACCCCCGGTGTCTTATCAAATGATGATGTTGAATGTAAAATAAATGGTTTTAAAAGTTTCAAATTAATTAACGATCCTTTCGAAGATAAGACACCGGACGTGTTGAAACAAAATGGCTATTTTTGTAGTGATTTTATAACATATTTATGTTATATTTTTTTTAAATAAATAATTATATCTGCTCTACTTTGTATTGAGCACTCTTTTAAGAATAGTAATTGTTGGTTATTGGAATCCGTCCCGTATACACCAATCATATACTTGTATATATATATATATATATATATATATATATATATATATATATATATATATATATATTATGACATGTATATGTCATAATTTTGAATAAATAGTAGTGTTAAAACAAAATTGCAGTTTTTGAAGTGATGTTATAACATGCATATATATATATATATATATATATATATATATATATATATAGATATGTACATATAATATACGTGGTACTTAGTGGAAAGCGATCAATATCTGTGATTCAGTTGTATGGATATTACTTTGTAACCCTTTTTACGATCATCAATGTTTGTCTGATAATCGCAAAAGTGTGAAACACAGGGTTACAAACTAATATCTATACAACTGATTATATATATATATATATATATATAATTTTTCAAAGCAGTCCACTGAAACTATGAACGAATATACTTTCTTCTTTTGCACAATATTTTATTACGGGGTGTCAGAAATATTGAATATATCCAAATGATATTTTCGTTATGTCCAATGAAACACTGACATTGTCTTAAACCCAAATGAGAAAAAAAAAAAAAACAAAAGCAGAACCAAAAAATAGGTTTCACATGAGGCAAAAAAAGAGGCAAATTATAAAAGGCTTCAGTGAGAGATAACGATTGTAGATTTATGTCCTAGTCAGGACGAAAAGGATATTAATACGCCAGCGGAAGACCGAACAGTAAACAGGTCGTATCATGTTGCTTACTTCAATAAAGATGCGGATGCTGACAATCATTCATCTCGATAAATAGTAGAAAGGCTAATGGGATCTGTGCAAAAAAACGAAGTCAGAGAACAGAGTTCGTATTCCGGTTGGGTTTAAGTATCCTTCAAAAAGCGGAAATTGTCTAGAAGGTATTTATATTTTATATTAAATTTCACCAAATACAAGACTCGATAGCCACTCAAGATAGTGTTTATTCTATCAATTGATTTTCATATCTATCTACGAGCTTGCGAGACCGACCACGTGCAAGATGTGTATCACACAAATTTAACCGTTCTGGATAAGACGATAAACTACATTCGACACCAAGGCCTCTGATTAGGATTTTTAGGAGCATGGAACCACCTCTTAATTGCTGGTGTTCACAGGTCTACCCTGACCGGGGGTGGTTGGACCTGTTAGAGTCCCGGCTATGGGATCACAACACTATGAAAGCATAAAAATCGTAATATATTTTTGTAAAATAATTATTATCAGCAATACATTTTTGAAGAAAAAAAATATTACCAACAATAAATTTAGAAAAAAAAACATTGTCATCAATAAAAAATCTTGTTCGTATTAAATAACCCATTGAGTTTGATATGCTGTAATCCAAACCAAACACAAATTTAACATTTTTCTGTTGGTTACTTTTTTCAACAGGAAAAAAATCAAAGGTTTCTTTTCATATATTTATCAATTTTCTTTTCTTTTTTTTTCCTTTTTTTTTTTTTTTTGGACAATGAATATTTCTTCAAAATTATTATAAATTGTCCTGATGGACATTTTCCTATGAAAATGTAGTTGGTCATTTTGCTATAAAAATGTATTACTGGTAATTTTACAATAAACATTTATTTTTATACTTTCCTAGTTTCCTTTTTCTTTCTTTTTTTTTTTTTTTTTTTTATTTAGGGTAAACTAATTTCCCATAGCTGAAACCCCAACAAAAGCCAATCGCCCGATCAGAGGACTTGCTGCTGAATATAGTCTGTTCCACTTGAGGTCTGGGGTGAATTTGAGACCCAATAGATGTTCAAGACATGGAGTCTCATACAACCGGTGATTGTGACTGGAGAAAACTCAAGATTAAAATAACTATGGTCAGGATATTCGTGCAATAATGACAAGTGAGAAATTGTGAAGAGGTTGATGAGAGAGGGATGGAGGGAGGGAAATAGAAAAAGAGAGAGAGAGAGAGAGAAAAGATGATGTCATTGCGTAACAAGTGAAGGACTTGACTGATTATTTAATCGACTCGTTCTCTAGTGATCGACGCTCGTTAAATCGACTTCCAGTTCTCTTTTGTGGTTCAATTAATTTCATTTGCTGCGCAACTCTCTTCCAATCGAAACAGATTTACGGCTGCTGATCAGGCAAAAGATTCAATTTGATGCGATCTGCTTTGATGGATTATATTTATCAGAAGTTCGTTGCTTGAATCTCGTGACAATTACTTTGATTCTCAATCAGTTTACGCAGAGGAAATACATTTGAATGTAGTCATTTTACGAATCAACACAAAGACTAAACAAGCGACTACTAAACAAGGTATAATCTGTCGTTCAGCCCAAAGACTTGTTGTATGTTTCTTCGTTGTTGCACTTGACTTGAGCTTCAGTATTAACTTAAAAGTGTTTTATTCAAATAAGATCTTATAAAACTCTATAAAGAACTGGAAATTTGTCTCGTGTATGTCAATTCCGTTCACACAAGAAAGACGAAATTCGAGTTACCGCTCCAAAGAAGGCAGAACAATTTTACCACATGAACGTTTGAAAAGGTTTATAATTTCTGAAACTTTAAACCTTGTACTTTTAATCGGATAGCATGTATTCAGGATTCGTATTGTAGTTCAGAATCTATCCGGAAAGACAGGTTTCTTTTTCTTTCTTTTTTTTTTTTTTAATCATTTCGCCTCAAGTAAGGCGATAATGTCACTAGGACGCAAGGGGTTACTGTGAATGGATGAGTATGAGAAAATTTCTTTCAGGAGAAAGGACAATAAAAGAACAGGGATTAAGAAGACAGAAGATGGCGATTAATGTTGCATTTAATTTTTAAGTGCAAGAAAAATTATTAGAATAGAACTTACGTAGCTATTTCAAAACACAAACGATGAGACCTAATAGCCAATCTAGTAGTGCGTTTAAATTCATGCGGA